AGCCGCTCCACGGCATATGGGATATTCCCAGACCGGGGCACGAACCCATGTCCCCTGCATCGGCAGGCAGACTCTCAACCAGTGCACCACCAGGGAAGCCCCCAGAGTAAATTTTTATCTAGTAAAATACTCTGTTTTCATTAATTACTATGCTATAACTTCAGCTTTCTTTTCAGTTACCCTCACTGCAATGCTGGTTAAAGTAACAGCCTCTTGTTTAATTAAAAACAAACAAAAAAACTTTTTTTCTTAGTTTCCTAGAAGCTTTAAACAGGTAAGGTTAACCAAAGTAAAGCCAATATACATTTGGGTAGTTGATGCCATTAAAATCAGTCAAGAAAAAGAGCCTAAACTCACATCACAGTGTAGTAATTCCCACTAAGAACAGAGGGAAAAAAATTTTAACTCTCTCCACTGACATAAGCATTCACTTATAACTAAGATGACAAATTATCCCATTACTTATATTCAGAGCAGCCTTACTTAACATAGTATTGTTCCCTAAAGTAGCACTTGTCTATGGTATACACAACTTAATTATTCTGACAACATCTTTATATATACCTATTGTTTTGTATTCTTTCATAAGTACTTTCCAAAGTGGAAGTACTTACAGATTATTTTTTTGACATCACATACTTTAACAATAAGTGACAAATTCAAAATGCTTTAGGAGTCAAGTAATATGTTAACTTTTTATTATTAAGATATCATTTTAGAAAAACTGATGAGTTTTACTTTATACTTAAATAATTTATAGCATTTTAAAACTACTCATAATTCACCTACTATTCTTATAAAACTCATAAATCATGTATTCTTCCCATTTCCACCTTATACTACATTCATAAAGGTACCTAACAAATAATACAATTAATAGGACAAAAATCAAACCAAAAATACCCTGTTGATAAATTTATTTAGAAATAGTATTTTGGTTATAGAATAAGGCAAAAAAAAAAAAAACCCTCTGTAGAAATACTTTAAAATTTACCAAAACTACACTTGACATTTTGTAATCAAATTATTCCAGGGCTTCCCTGGCGGCGCAGTGGTTGAGAGTCCGCCTGCCGATGCCGGGGACACGGGTCCGTGCCCTGGTCTGGGAAGATCCCACATGCCGTGGAGCGGCTGGGCCCGTGAGCCATGGCTGCTGAGCCTGCACGTCCGGAGCCTGTGCTCCGCAACGGGAGAGGCCACAACAGTGAGAGGCCCGCGTACCACAAAAAAAAAAAAAAAAAAAAATTATTCCAAATAAAACCGAAAACCTACCAACCAATGAATTTACTGGTTAACAATCCATACCAACATTTACCATTCAGAGAAGATTAGAATAAATTTGTTGTGCCTTCCTAACCATCCGTGGAAAGTATAACCACCACATCTCAGGACTGAATGAGACTATCCTTCAATAAAGGGAAATATGAAAAAAGTAAAATATATTCTGTGAACTGTAAACTATAACCAGTAGGGAGATGGGGTAGGGAAGGCATGTACCAATCAGGTGGCCTATAGATTTGTTTCAATGGCCAATACTGTAGGTAAACCCATGCAGGTATGGCATCAAGGAACTTCTGTATAAAGCCGGGATCCCTAAAGGGTTATACCATCAATGAAAAAGTGAGGTTTTTAAAAATCTGTTCTGCAGAGGCAGACAGAAAACATCTATTTCAGCTCTGGCTCTACATAGAGGAAAAAAGTAGTTTGGGCATAGACTAAACATAATGTCACTTTGGAGCATAAATTCATCTTACATTCAAACTCAAAAAAAAAAAAACCACATGCCAAAAGTTTAACTTAATTTGGACCTACGTTGCTAGGCCCCCAGAAGTCCACACTCTCTCTCTAGAGCAGGGGTAGGCAAACTAAGACCCAGGGCTAAATCTAGAACAAAGCCATGCCCATCTGTTTATGTTTATGGCTCCTTTCATGTTACAACAGCAGAGCTGATTAGTTTTGACAAAGACCATATGGTCCACAAAGCCTAAAATAGTTACTATCTGTCCCTTTACAGAAAGATAGTGACCCCTAGCATAAAATACTTATAATAATGTCAAATGTGTTCAAAGTAAAACAATATGAATTAAATTAGTAGAAACAGTAGCCTGTAAACTGGAGGTTGATCAAAGAGTAAAAGTATGGTTAACTGTCGACTTAAAGTATTCATTTTAAAACTTAAAAAGTCATCACCTATGGTTCAAGTACAAGCATGGTAATAGTTTAATCCTGAATCTTCCCGTTTTCCTCAGGGAAGACACAAAAAATAAGGAAAACATGGGGAGGAAAAGTGAAAGAAAAAGAAAATTAAATTTCCAGAGAAATTAGGAATGAAAAAAACTCACCAACTCCAAATCAGGTGCGAACATGCAAAAAGCCAGTGAAACTAAGAGAATCAGATAGAGAAAGCTGCAAGAATGCAGAAAGGAAGACAAAAAACAAGGAACATGGAAGAAGCCTAATGGTAGATCTCAAATATTACCTCTCTTGTTCCCACAAAAAAATGGGCCTCACTCTCCCTGATCACAAGAAGAGCTATAATTAAAAACAAAAAAAGACAACAAAGTAATTTTAAAAAAAACATAAAACGTACATAAAATGTACAAAAACCAGAGGGAATCACAAAGCAAAATCCAACTTTCTCTTGTATACAAGAGATACATTTAAAACAAAGTGATTCTGAATGGTTAACAATAAAGGAATGGGCAAAGGTACACAGGGAAAAGACTGACTTTCCCCACCAAAAAAAACCAAGAGCCATAATATTAATAATATGTTGAAATCAGATCAAAAAACACTGAACAAAGCACTTTATAATATTAAAAGATACAATTTGCAATAAAGATATAACAGTTATGAATATCCATAATAGCAACTTCCATAAAGCATAAATTCCAGAATACACAAGAAGAAAGAGGCAGAAATAAACTAATATTTTTAGACTTTTATTAACTTTCAGAGCATGATAGATCAAGTTAAAAATAAGTAAGGAAGAAAAGACCTAAACAGAAAAATCAATAAAGTAGATTTTATATATATGTATCAAATGCTACACTTTGATATTATAGGATCTACCTCCTTTTCAAGCATCTATAGAACATTTATGAAAATTGGGCCCCAAAGAAAATCTCAATAAATTACAAAAAGCAGAAATAATACCTACAACATTCCCTGAACACTATAATAAAACCAAAAACAAAACAACCTTTTTACATAGAAAATCTGTCACTCTTAATTAAACGACTCTTGGGCCCATCTGAAAAATGAGAATGACTCACCTACATGTGCTTCACTGCTACCATGAGTTTGTTATGACAATAATGTGTGTAAACAGGCTTATTTAATGCAGCATTTATTAACCATTACACTCTAAAATGTTCCTATCACCAGAATTCTTTTTAGATTTCTTCTATTTTCTCAGTAAAATAAGAAGTAAGAGAGTAATGATGAAGAGTGAAGTGTTGGAAGTCTGAAGAGAGAAAGGAAAACATATGAAACAGTCATCTTGGAAAACTGTAAGACAGATTGGTGATTATGAACTTAAAACTCGGTAAATGAGAAGTACAGACAAGAGAGGGTGAGAGAGAGTGAAGCACTGACCAGAGGCTCAACGGACTAAAGGCTCTGGTAAGGCTGAAGAATTCCCAGTGTCTGGACACTCTTCAGGAGTAAGCTGGAAAGATGAGCAGCACTTGAAGAGTAAGATACTTGAAATGGAAATTATGGGATTCGTAGCAGGTACACAAGGTCAAGAGTACCGCAATGCAAGAGAAAGACCCAAACAGGATGGAAAACAAGATCTTTGTAAGAGAGATCAAAAAATTGAGAGGACAGAAGTATTTAAATGGATCCTAAAATATCCATAAAAATATCTGGCTAATATATGTAGGACAGAGACAGTGAGCCAGAAGCTATATTCTTCCAGGAATTAAGCACAGTGATCAAAGGAGCAACAGAGGAGTGTAAGATGGAGAAGTAATAGGTGGTATAGTCTGATGATGTAAGATTCAAAGTTGAGTGATTTAAAGGAGGAAGGAGTAAAAATAGAGTGGAAATGACAGTAAGAAGTAAGGAGGATACATATCCCAATTCTAGCCCAGTTGTACTGGGGATGTGAAAAAGAGAAGGTCACTTAAAAGGACTGAAGGGGAAACAGTGGAGAATTCAGAAGGAAGTCTTCCTCTGACACACAAGCACTCTCTTGTTGTTGCCAGTGGTGATCTGCAAATGAGTTCTCTCATCAAGACTACACAAGGACTCTAAATAGTTGAATATAGTTGTCTATACACAAAAGGGCCAAAAACTTGAGTTCATAATCCTGGCTAGAACTGGAAATGGAGTATGTTCCTGAATCTAAATAGCAAACATAGCATATACACATCTGTAGGCAAATTTAAAAAAAAAAAAAAACAACTTACAACTGTTTGAAAATGTCATAAAGAATTCAAAGAAATAAAGTACCAGAAAAATAAATTAGAGTATTTAAGAGTCATATGTAGATTGCCCCAGTCACCTTCACACACCAGATATAATCTTTTATAGAAGCCAAAAGACTGTCTTTGGGAAGCTTACTTTAGAAGAGTAATACATACAGAGATATTGCAATAAGATTAGAAACAGAACCTTGAAAAATGAAAAATCCTGAAATCATGGAATGCATAGTTAAGAAACTGGGGTAGTTTTAGCTTTCGGTTCATAAGTAAAATCCAAAGAAATAGCACCATCTATTGGAATTTCAGATATTTAAAATACATATTCTCAATTCTTAGAAAATGTGCCTAGTATGTAACATTTCCGCACATTTGGCTAAGAAGATAACTTACATATTAAAGGACAATAGCTAACATAAAAAAGTTTATATTAGAAAGAATTAATTCTTGGTTTATAATTCTAATTTCAAATAACTAACCATTTTGACTAAATTCACATGAAGATTTTATTATAGATAAAATATTCTCAACCAATAAAGAAGAGTACATAGTTACATGTTCAAAGTAACTCACAGATATGGTATTCCTGTATGCTGCTTGTATAACCATATATTGCAGAATATCCAAATATTATGATCATGACAACATCTCTACTATCCAACTCCATAATATGTGCTGAATGTCCCTCCACAGCATACTGCTGACCGTGTCCAAGCACAGTAGGAGTTTTTGTACTCCATGACTGACTATGTATGTTAAAAACCCATAATTCATCTGTGACATTGCCATCACTTGTTTCAATTCTGCCTCCATACATAAAGATGTTTTCCTGTAAATTAAAAAAACATATGTTAATAAAAAAATATTTGTATCTTAGCAAGATATATTAGTTAAAAATAAAGACTAAATTAAGACTAATTAAGACTAAACATTAAATTTTAGTAATTGCTCACAACATGCATAAGACATAGTTCTTATTTGTAAAAAGTCAAATGAGAACACATAAGTAGTGATAATTACTTCTTTTCCTTACAAGAAGGGGGAAAATCCACACTTACAAAAAGTTACTTTAAGGTATTTTATTTAAAAGTTATGTAGTCAATTAACCATGGTTTTAATTATCCTAGTTGTTGAGTCCCTAGTTGTTAAATTTGAATTTTACCATCTATTTGTACTGCTTTGTGCTAGTCTCAGTCATTCACTGTTTTCATCATTGTTCACCAGAAAGGTAGATCACATTTGCATATATTATGTGGAGTACATTTTTATTACCACTTCTCACAGCTACGAGCAAATACCTTGTAGCACTTATAAATTATACAATTTCAATATGATTGAAATGAATGATATATAAATCATTACTATTTCAACAACCTAGAAAGAGAAAAGAATTTCTTCAACCTAATAAAGAGCATCTAAGAAAAACAGAAAGCTGCTATTACATACACTTAATGGTAAAAGACTGGATGTTTCACCAAGGTCAGTAATAAGATAAAGGTGCCTGCTTTTGCGACTTACATTCAACATTGTACTCAAGAGCTTAGCCAGAACAAATATGCAAAAACTGAATAAAGGTATAAAGATTAGAAAAGAAAAGTAAAATATTTCTATTTGTAGATGATATGAACTTGTATACAGAGAATACTAAGAAATAAAAAAACAATTAGAGGGGGCAGAGTCAAGATGGTGGACTAGGAGAATGCAGAATTCATGTCTCCGCACAACTAGGGCACCTACCAGGCACCGCTGGGGGACCACGGACACCTAAGGGGATGGGAAGAACTCCCAGTGATAGGGTAGAAACGTGGGGCATTGGGGAAGTGATGGGGGAGAAGTGGAGGCAGGACGGGATTGGCGCCCCTCAAGGGCAGCTGGGGGAGGGGAAGGGAACTCAGGCCGGAAGGGGGAAATTGGGGAACCATTGGGAGGGCAGAGGATCAAAAGGGAGCATGGCCAGGTTTCCCCTGCCCACTTGGACTCCCAGGAACCTGTTGAGATCCCAGGCCTGATCCTCTGCCCACCTTGGCCCCCTCCAGCCACACAGGTCCTGAGGGAGTGGGAGGGTGGGAAGGGGGAGCAAAAGTAAAGGCTGGACCTCCAGGACCGGCACACCTGAGGGGCAGCTGGGGCAGGGGAGGAGTTCCTACACCCAGTGGGACCCACCCACGGTTAAGGATCCAATGGGTCAGGGGAGACCCTGTGGGAGACGGTGCAGGAGGGACGTGAAGGAACGGAAGTGGGCCAGCGCTTTCCCTGTCCACTTAGGCACTGGGAAGACTGTTGGGCTCCCTGGCCAAATCCTCTGCCCTCGGAGCCTGCCTCCTGCCATGCAGAGCCCAAACCCTGCCCTGCACTCCCACCCAGGGCCCCACCTCTACACATGGAGACTCCCTCCAACAGGCTGGGCCTAAACCCCACCAACACACCCTCACCCAGGGCCTTACCTCCAAACTCCGGAACTCCACACTCCAGAGGCCCTCCTTTCCACTTGCTGCCTCTCCCCTCCTGCCAGGTCCTAAGCAGAGGCCCTGCCCCACGCTTGAACATCATCGCCCCACACACGCCTGGCCCCCAGGGCCTTTTCTGGCTGCATGGGTCCTGAGCCTAGGCCCTGCCCCATGCTCAAATGTCACACCCCCGACCCGCCTAGGTCCCGCCCACCCTAAACCCCACCCCTGCCTAAGTTCCACCCCCGCCTAAACTCCTTCCACATAGCGAAGGCTTTTTATTTTCTTTTTCTTTTTCCGCTTTTAGATTGGGGTTCTGCTTTACCTTGCTGACTCATATATATTTTTATTTTTCCTAGTAAATCTTTTATTTTTCTAATTTTATTTTATTCTTTATACTTTATTATTGTTGTCTCCTTTTGGCTTGTTCCCCCCACCTTTTTTTTTTCTTTTTTCTGTTGTGGTTTTATTTTACCTTGTTGCAATTATATTTTTACTTTTCCTAATATACCTTTTATCTTTCAAATCTTTTTGTTTTTTTATTCTTTGATATCGTACTGCTCCTTTTCTCCTTCTTTCTTTCTTTTTTTTTTTTTTTTTTTTGCTTGGTTCCCAGGCCAGAGGTAGGGCCCAAGCTCCTGTGGTGGGAGCTCCAAGTCCAACCCAGTGGATTAACAGAGAACCTCACACCCTAGGGAATATTAATCAGAGTAAGGCCTCCCAGAGGTCCTCATCTCAGCACCAAGGCCCGGCTCTATCCAACTGCCTGCAAACTCCAGGGCTGGACACCTAAGGTCAAACAACCGGTAAGACAGGAATACAGCCCCAACCATCAAAAAGAAGAAACGACAAGAAAATATATTACAGATGAATAAGCAAAGTAAAAACCTACAAGACCAAATAAATGAAGATGAAATAGGCAACATACCAGAAAAAGAATTCATAGTGATAGTATAGATGATCCAAATTCTCAGAAACAGAATGGAGAAAATACAAGAAACATTTAACAAGGATCTAGAAGAACTAAATAGCAAATAGTGATGAACAACACAATAACTGAAATTAAAAATACTCTAGAAGGAATCAATAGCAGAATAACTGAGGCAGAAGAACAGATGAGTGAGCTGGAAGATAAAATGGAGGAAATAGCTGCCAGGGAGCAGAATAAGGAAAAAAGAATGAAAAGAACTGAGGACAGACTCAGAGACCTCGGGGACAACACTAAACACACCAACATTCGAATTATACGGGTCCCAGAGGAAGAAGAGAAAAAGAAAGGGTCTGAGAAAATATTTGAAGAGATTACAGTCGAAAACTTCCCTAACATGGGAAAGGAAATAGTCAATCAAGTCCAGGAAGCGCAGAGAGTCCCATACAGGATAAACCCAAAGACAAACATGCTGAGACACATATTAATCAAACTATCAAAAATTAAATACAAAGAAAAAATATTAAGAGCAGCAAGAGAAAAGCAACAAATAACATACAAGGGAATCCCCATAAGGTTAACAGCTAATCTTTCAGCAGAAACTCTGAAAGCCAGAAGGGGGTGGCAGGACATATTTAAAGTGATGAAAGGGAAAAACCTACAACCAAGATTACTCTACCCAGCAAGGATCTCATTCAGATTTGATGGAGAAGTCAAAAGCTTTTCAGACAAGCAAAAGCTAAGAGAATTCAGCACCACCAAACCAGCTTTACAACAAATGCTACGGAAACTTCTCTAGGCAGGAAACACAGGATAAGGGAAAGACCTACAAAAACAAAAAGAAAACAATTAAGAAAATGGTAACAGGAACATACATATCGATAATTACCTTAAATGTAAATGGATCAAATGCTCCAACCAAAAGACACAGACTGGCTGAATGGATACAAAAACAACACCTGTATATATGCTATCCACAAGAGACCCACTTCAGACCTAGGGACACATACAGACGGAAAGTGAGGGGATGGAAAAAGATATTCCATGCAAATGGAAACCAAAAGAGAGCTGAAGTAGCAATTCTCATATCAGACAAAATAGACTTTAAAATAAAGGCTATTACAAGAGACAAAGAAGGACACTACATAATGATCAAGGGATCAATCCAAGAAGAAGATATAACAATGGTAAATATTTATGCACCCAACATAGGAGCACCTTAATACATAAGGCAAATGCTAACAGCCATAAAAGGGGAAATCGGAAGGAACACAATTATAGTAGGGGACTTTAACACCCCACTTTCACCAATGGACAGACCATCCAAAATGAAATAAATAAGGAAACACAAGCTTTAAATGACAAATTAAACAAAATGGACTTAATTGATATTTATAGGACATTCCATCCAAAAACAACAGAATACAGTTTCTTCTCAAGTGCTCATGGAACATTCTCCAGGATAGACCATATCTTGGGTCACAGATGAAGCCTTGGTAAATTTAATAAAATTGAAATTGTACCAAGTATCTTTTCCGACCACAACACTATGAGACTAGATATCAATTACAGGAAAAAACTGTAAAAAATACAAACACATGGAGGCTACACAATACGCTACAAAATAACCAAGAGATCACTGAAGAAATCAAAGAGGAAATCAAAAAATACTTAGAAACAAATGACAAAGAAAACACAACAACCCAAAACCTATGGGATGCAGCAAAAGCAGTTCTAAAAGGGAACTTTATAGCAATGCAATCCTACTTCCAGAAACAAGAAAAACCTCAAATAAACAACCTAACCTTACACCTAAAGCAATTAGAGAAAGAAGAACCAAAAACACTCCAAAGTTAGCAGAAGGAAAGAAATCATAAAGATCAGATCATAAATAAATGAAAAAGAAATGAAGGAAATAATAGCAAAGATCAATAAAACTAAAAGCTGGTTCTTTGAGAAGATAAACAAAATTCATAAACCATTAGTCAGACTCATCAAGAAAAAAAGGGAGAAGACTCAAATCAACAGAATTAGAAATGAAAAAGGAGAAATAACAACTGACACTGCAGAAATACAAAGGATCATGAGAGACTACTACAAGCAACTATATGCCAATAAAATGGACAATCTGGAAGAAATGGACAAATTCTTAGAAAAGCACAACCTTCCGAGACTGAACCAGGAAGAAATAGAAAATATAAACAGACCAATCACAAGCACTGAAATTGAAACTGTGATTAAAAATCTTCCAACAGGGCTTCCCTGGTGGCGCAGTGGTTGGGAGTCCACCTGCCGATGCAGGGGACGCGGGTTCGTGCCCCGGTCCGGGAAGATCCCACATGACGCGGGGCGGCTGGGCCCGTGAGCCATGGCCGCTGAGCCTGCACGTCCGGAGCCTGTGCTCCGCAGCGGGAGAGGCCACGGCAGTGAGAGGCCCGTGTACCGCAAAAAAAAAAAAAAAAAAAAAATCTTCCAACAAACAAAAGTACAGGACCAGATGGCTTCACAGGCAAATTCTATCAAACATTTAGAGAAGAACTAACACCTATACTTCTCAAACTATTCCAAACTATAGCAGAAGGAGGAACACTCCCAAACTCATTCTACAAGGACACCATCACCCTGATACCAAAACCAGACAAAGATGTCACAACAAAGAAAACTACAGGCCAATATCACTGATCAACATAGATGCAAAAATACTCAACAAAGTACTAGCAAACAGAATCCAACAGCACACTAAAAGGATCATACAACATGATCAAGTGGGGTTTATCCCAGGAATGGAAGGATTCTTCAATATACGCAAATCAATCAATGTAATACACCATATTAACAAAATGAAGGATAAAAACCATATGATAATCTCAATAGATGCAGAAAAATCTTTCGACAAAATTCAACACCCATTTATGATAAAAACTCCCCAGAAAGTAGGCAGAGAGGAAATATGCTTCCTCTTAGAGGAAAACGTAGGCAGAACACTCTATGACATAAATCACAGCAAGATCCTTTTTGACCCACCTCCTAGAGAAATGGAAATAAAAACAAAAATAAACAAATGGGACCTAATGAAACTTAAAAGCTTTTGCACAGCAAAGGAAACCATAAACAAGACGAAAAGACAACCCTCAGAATGGGAGAACATATTTGCAAACGAAGCAACTGAGAAAGGATTAATCTCCAAAATATACAAGCAGTTCATGCAGCTCAATATCAAAAAAACAAACAACCCAATCCAAAAATGGGCAGAAGACCTAAACAGACATTTCTTCAAAGAAGAAATACAGATTGCCAACAAACTGATGAAAGGATGCTCAACATCACTAATCATTAGAGAAATGCAAACCAAAATTATAATCAGGTATCACCTCAAATGGCCATCATCAAAAAATTTACAAACAATAAATGCTGCAGAGGGTGTGGAGAGGCACTGTTGGTGAGAATGTAAATTGATACAGCCACTACGGAGAACAGTACAGAGGTTCCTTAAAAAACTAAAAATAGAACTACCATATGACCCAGCAATCCCACGACTGGGCATATACACTGAGAAAACCATAATTCAAAAAGAATCATGTACCACAATGTTCACTGCAGCACTATTTACAGTAGACAGGACATGGTAGCAACCTAAGTGTCCATCAACAGATGAATGGATAAAGAAGATGTTGCACCTATATACAGTGGAATATTATTCAGCCATAGAAAGAAACGAAATTGAGTTATTTGTAATGAGGTGGATGGACCTAAGTCTGTCATACAGAGTGAAGTAAGTCAGAAAGAGAAAAACAAATACCATATGCCAACACATATATATGTAATCTAAAAAAAAATGGTTCTGATGAACCTAGGGGCAGGACAGGAATAAAGACACAGACATAGAGAATGGCCTTGAGGACACAGGGAGGGGCAAGGGTGACAGCTGAAGGGTACAGGACTTCTTTACAAGGTGATGAAAATATTCTAAAATTGATTACGCAACACTGCAATTTTGACAAGCATGCAAGAGATAATTGCACAACTCTGAAGATACTAAAAAGCATTCAGTTGTACATTTTAAACACATGAATTGTATCGTATGCCAATTATATCTCAATAAAGCTGTTACAAGAAAATGAAATAAATCAAAAAACTGAAAGAAAACAAAGAAACATATATCCACATACATATGTACACAGAGAGATTTTTATTTAATTTCTTAAACATGTATATGCATAGAACAAAACAGTGGTAGTTTATTCTTTACATTGCTCCCGTGTTTTCCAAATTTTCTTAAACAAGCACAGAAAATATATAAATTCTGATTTGAAGAGTGTAGTCACAGTCCACAAAATACATGAATTTTTGTTGATTCAAAATAAAAACCAATTAAATAGCCTGATTTTAATCATGCTAAATTCATGAACCCCACAAATACATAAAAATAACTGATTAAAAGCAATCCCTATCAAAATCCCAATGACATTTTGCATAAGTAGAAAAATCCATCCTAAACTATTATGGAATCTTAAGGGACCCTGAATAAATAAAACAAACTTGAAAAACAAGACTGAAGTTGGAGGTCTCACATTTCTACATTTCAAAACTTACTACAAAACTACACTAATCAAAACAGTGTGGTACTGGAATAAACACAGATCTAGATCAAAGGACTAGAGAGCTCAGAAATAAATCTTTGCATATATGATCAAATGCTTTCAACAAGAGTGCCAAGACCATTTAATGGGGGAAAAGTCTTTTCAACAAATAGTGCAGGGAAAACTGAATACCCATATGTAAGAGAAAATAATTGGACCCTTACTTTATATCCTAAACAAAAATTAACTCAAAACAGATTAAAGACCTAAGAACTAAAACTTCACAATTCTTAAAAGAAAACATAGGGAAAAGGCTTCATAATATTGGATTTGGCAATGATTTATTGGATATGACACCAAAAGCACTGACAACAAAAGAAAAAACAGATAAATTGGACTGTGTCAAAATTAAAAACATGCCCATCAAAGGACACTATCAATAGAGTGAAAAAGCCCACAGGATGAGAGAAAATATTTGCAAATAATATATCCAATTAGGGGATAAAATCCAGAATATATAAAGAACTCCTACAACTCAACACCAAAAAAAAGTTAAAAATGGGCAAAAGACTTGAATATATGTTTATCCAGAGAAAGCATACAAATAGCCAATAAGCACTTGAAAAGATGTTACATACCACAAATCATTAAGGAAATACAAATCAAAATCACAATGAGATACTGCTTTACATCCATCAGGATGGCTACTATAGGAAGGAAGGAAGGAAGGAAGGAAGGAAGGAAGGAAGGAAGGAAGGAAGGAAGGAAGGAAGGAA